TGGACAACTTGGTGAATAATAGATAAGCTGGATAAATAGAACCAGCAGCTCTGTAAGGGATACTGAATCTTTAAAAAGGAAAGAAGAAAATTAATTTCCAACATCCACTTACAACTTAGAAAAATTTAACTGAGCTTCCATCCACTTATATGATTGAGTTTTCATAGAGACTTTGGTGCAATCAGGCAGAAGGGACTTACGCTTCAATACCAAAGACTCCAGAACAAATTAGACATAGCTAGTTAAAAGACAGCAAAAGCAAGTGATGCAATAGGTGCTCTGTGAAGGTACAGTTTTACCATTTATTTGAACCAATCACTTAATATAAACCTACAATAGGAAGATGTCTGAATCTGATCAAGGCTGTTTTGAGTCTATTCAATTAGGAGTAGTAAAATTCAGCTTAACATGTTGATCCAGCTAACTTATCTATACAGCACTGTAGAACAGGAGTCAGTACACTTTTTCTGTAAAGGAATATACAGTAAATATTCTAAATTTTGTGGCTAAATGGTCTCTGTCACAAATACTCAAGTGGGCTGGTACAGCTTTAAGTAGACATAGATAATATGCTAATGAATGAATATGGCTGTTTTTCAATAACACTGCTGTGAAATTCATACTTGACAATTTAGAATTTTTTTATTAGAGAAAAATTATACATTTATTTTAACGTGTATACACAGGAACTCTCAGAAAATGAAGATTCCTAAGTTATAAAAACCATTCTTAGTTTACAAATGTATAAACTAGATAGTGGGCCAGCTTTGGCCTATACTATCTATAGGTAAACTATGTTTACCAACCCTTGCTATAGAAGCTTACATTAAATTAAAAGAGTATAGTGAAATCGCATGTGAAACAAAGGAAAATGTTAACCTATGCTAATATAGTAGAATGGAACTCTCAAAACTCAGTTTTGAGACGATCTGTGATATCTGGTAGGCCAAAACATACATGTTAAAAGTCAATATAAAACACTAAATTACAGATGACAGACATATAAACTTAAGTTGAATACTAGCCATAACATCACAAGTATATATTAGTCTTTTTATTTCTGTAAAGTTCAGTAATATCCTACAAAATGGCAGCTCTTTTATCAAAAATCAATTCTCTGAGAAGTCATTACGCCTAGAATCATGTAGTACTACCATGGGAATTACAAGAGATGTATATAAGGCAATGTCTTTTCTCAAGAAGCTCACGATCAACTGGGAAGAATAGATTTAATCAAAGGAAAAAGTACATGGGATAAAGTTCAGAGCAAGCAGGCGTAAGCTTCTAAGTGTCCTGTTCTGGTCAAATCACACAGAACAGAACTTAATTATTCCAGCAGCAAGTTATGACAACACATGTGAAATGCTGTCTGTCAGAGAAGCTCATAGAGACCCAGTACCCTAGCTTTTTATTGGGGGCTGAGCATGTAAGCACTCTGCCCAGCACATACCAAAATTCTAAACTCCTGTAAAGAAGGCATGTGTTTAGCATAAATCACATTGTTTGTACAAACAGCTGGCACTCACCAGTTCTGGAAATAATAGGAATTTCAAGTTTCCAGATGCCAGCCAACAGGCAACCTTGCAATCAAGCCTTTCTAGGACAGCAGTCTCAGGTTGGCTATGTTAACTCTTTTGCACACATATGCACAGAATATACAGAGACAGTATGTGGCCCACAAAGCCCAAAATATTTACTATCTGGCCTTTTACAGAAAAAGTTTGCTGATCCCTACCCTATACTAAATTCTTAGTGTATATATTCTTTGTGTGTGTGCGTGTGTGCGTGTGTGTGTGTGTGTGTGTGTGTGTGTAAATATAAAAACTTAAAGTTTTAAAGGAAGTAAGAATAATAACTAACAGCATATGCTGAAGTTTGATGGGGGAAAAAAATCAAATGAGACTTAAGGTAAAAACAATATGGTAATGTATCAAATGGTACAAGGCTTTTCAGTTTATAAAACTTTATTCGCAAACCTCATCTCTATGACCACAAAAATAAGTCCAGTCACCAATATCACTATTCCAATTTTACAGATAATGAAAACTCCAACAACAAAGGTTAAGCGATTTGCCCAAAAGATCACAGCTAGATGATAGCGGAACCAGAATTTAAACAAGGTCTTCTAGTTCTGAACCCAGATCTGGATCATCAAGTATGTCTAGGATTTCTAGAGAGAGAGAAATGAGGAAGCACTAAAGGCTGGGGGAATAGGAAAAGAAACTATACATATAGGAAGAAGTACATACTAAAAACTAAAAGAAAAAAAATACTTGAAGACATGTAAGATATAGACTAAAAGGTATGTAGCCAAGTACCTTAGAAGAGAACATGCTGAAATTCCAAGTTTGAATAATCCATAGCATATAAATCTTACCATATCTCAACATATTCATTTCTCCCAATTGCACTTACCTTTTCTATTCTTCAGCTTTATAGGAAATAGTTTTCTGCCTTGTGTATAGATCAATAATCTCCCTAAAAGGCACACTGAATGAATGAAATAAATATATTGTAATTCTTGTCCTAAGTAGTAGAAAGTTCTCCGGTTGTTTCCTTAAAAAAGAAGCAAACAAGAACATTTATTTTAATGACATCATATTTTACAGTACCTGTCTTTATTCCCTTTAAAACATTAAACAAGGTTGTAGTCTATAATGGAGACACTGTTGGTGCACATTTTCAAACACTATTTAGTTTCCGTATTGTTTCCTAAGATTCTTCACACTGAATCTCTGAAGAAAAGTAGCCATCGTAAAATTTGGCAAACTTCACAAAAGTAAAATATGCATATCATGTTCATTCCAAAATGGTCAGGCGCAGTGGCTCACACTTGTACCCCCACGACTTTGGGAAGCTGAGGTGGAAGGATCATTTAAGGCTAGAAGTTCAAGAATAGCCAGGGCAACATAGAAAGACTCTGTCTCCACACACAAAAAATAAAATAATGAATTAGCAGGGCATAGTAGCATGTAACTATAGTCCTAGTTACTAGGGAAGCTGAAGCTGGAGGATTCCTTGATCTCAGGAGTTTGAGGTTATAGTAAGCTATGTTCATGCCACTACACTCCAGCCTGGCCTACAGAGCAAGATCCTGTCTCCAGAAAAA